CCCCCCCCCCCCCCCCCATGTTCCCCACAGAATTTGAGGTGCTCCACCAATATGGTGCAGATACGTCCCACTTTTTTAAACATATACCAACCTCTTGCTGTGGCCAGTTCACCCTCTGGATGTGCCAATTTGTGCATGGCGGTTGGTGCGATACAAAACGGGACTTCAATTTTCTCACCAAGAATCGATGTTGACATGTCAATGGAAGACACATTTCTCAGAACGCGTGGTAGAAGTCGTAGTCTAATAGAAATAATATTGCACAGTGCTGTTAAAGTTACATAATCTTGTAAATAGTTAAAGTTACATCATCAGAAAAGTAACACGTATAGTTACTGATACAAATTACAATGGAATAAAAGTAGCTTAGTTGCAGTTACAGTTACAAAGTTACTTTAAGAATTTTGTAACTAATAACAAGTTACAAACTATAATCACGAAATTTTATAATACAAAATAGCTGCATGCGATAATTATGTCAAACATACTTTATGTGGCTAATGTGATTTGTATTGTAAATTACCGACTGCCCCTGTAGCCACCGCGTGTGCACGCATTCCTTCTACGAAGCTTTGTTTTCTTGGCATTTGACGAACGAACATTAAAGATAGCACACTTTTGGGGATAATTTGGCTAGAAGTAACAATCCTCCTAGCTGGTTTATTATAAGTAAACAAAACAATAATTATATACATTGTGCATGATTGTCAAAACTACAACATGCGGAGAGATTTAAAAATGGCGCCCCTATAACTTCTATACAAGGTGTATTGATCGATTTTGTTAAAATGAACCCCATCTCGAAGAAACGGTACGGTGTTACCGATGGCCGCGCAAAACCCCGATGTAGCAAAGTGAAAACGTTCAGCATATGTTCTAACACAACGGTAAAATATTTATTGACAATAACTCGTTTCGCGTCGAAAACTGGATTACGATTGCGTGGAGTTATCAGGCAAACACACACAACTTTGACGTGATATGTTTGTTGTAACGGAGAAACCAATTCCTCAACTTCAGAACCCACCACCTCAGCTGGCAAAAGGGACAAATAATTTGTACCAATCTCCAGGATGACGATATCTGGGGATAGGCGTGCTACTACCCCCCAAGATCATGATTCCGCACTTTACTAACCGTGCATGCGACCACTAATACCTGTGCATGTGAACTGTCCCGTTAAGTTTAAATGTATGGGGCATTCGTGCGTCTGACTTAACATGCAGGTCCGACTTAAGTCGACGTACAAATGAATGACCCAAAACTAAAACTTTGGGGGCCGCCATGTAGAGAATATAAAGTAGAAATTTGGGATAAAACAGCTGTTCAGGAAGTTGGATTTCGCCAAAAGTAACGGTTGTCTGAAGGCCAGAATGTAATCGTACTAGTTGTATACCGTTATTTTTTTTCAACTTTTGTAACTAGTTACAGTTACAAGTTACCTTTCCAAAAATGCGACTAACTCGCCTGAAATGTTGAAGTTTTCCTTGTACATTTAAGGTAGTCAGTTGCAAAAAATTTCAAAACCAAACGACAAAACAAAAACATCAGCAGTTATGATTTCACGCAATCTGATCGGCCCAGAACCATTATGTATACACAACTTCTGTGACCGGCCGAAAACATCCCCACTGTCTACCAGCGCTGGCACGAGTTCATAAATTATCCGGTCTGTTAAATATTGCTACTTTGAAGTTCCCGAAATCCAATATAGTGGACTGAGTTACTAAAAAAAACACGCTTTTTATCTGACAATTACGCAGATTTTGCTGAGGAAAAACGTCATTTACTGTGTCCATGTAAATGTCTTTCTCTCCGCGCCGGAAAACTAAAGTAGTTTGACAATTCAATTGAATCATCCATCTGTAACCACTTGTGCAATAATATTGTGTACTGTATATCTTATACACAACAATGTTTCATCTGTTCGCGGTCGACATATAACAGTATATTACACAGAGCATGAATGAAAATTGTTGATTTAAGATTAAACTTAAAAGTTTTTATTGCCAACTTAGTGCTGCAAGAAGCTAAAATGGCAAAATGTTATTTGAATGGTCAATCAGAAGCAATTACAATGTTGCTAGCTTATTAAATCTCTTTAATTGAATAATTGGCAAAGTGTGCGAATCACGAATACAAAATGTGGCTAATTTATTTTAGCTTGTACTGAACTGCAAGGTCTCAATAGGCTGTTTAATGCAGAGGCAGTCCAACTCAATTCAATTCAATTCAGATACTCACCGACCACCTTACCTTTTAAAAGCTGCTGTGGATTCGCCAAGCGTCTGCATGTCATTCGCTGCCGATGCATAATAACTAAATGCACCCTTCGGTAAATGTCGCGTGGCAAAAATTTCAAAATCGCTGATACAAACAGGTTCATTGTTTAATTCGTTGTTTGGCATCCTTCCTTATTGAACTCGTAGATTTCGTACTGAATAGTGTTTACAAATTATTCGAGTTAAAAGATCTTTACACAACCGACTCTCAGACCTCAGACCAATAAGAACTTTGTTTACGATACAAGCTAGCTTTATCTACTAATTAACATAAAAAGAATACGCTTATCCCCATTTGGCGGGCGGTGAAACGGCAAACTGCTTTTTATAGATGATAGATAGACACTGATCGACTATTAAATTAATAGATCGTTTATTAAATCATTTTTCGCAGTTTAAAAAAGCTGAATCACAATTGAGTTTTCATCAAATATGGTTATAATTTATGTGTTAAGACTATACTAAGTACTATTTATACAATTTGGATTGCGATGCTCGTATTTATAATTAGAGGTCTATAATATCTTCTCAAATCTCTAAAATTATGAATTGGTAAATTTTCTTCAGGTATAGTAGATGGTCAGGTTTATGTTCTCTGTTATCTTCGATGGAAGTAAAACGTTTTTGGCATAATCTCTCTCTTATGTCGTTCTGTCCTGTTGCGGTTTTTTCTTGCTCTATTGCATCTGTCGAATTTATTTCAGGATATATAATTTTGGCTCGTCTTTGATCTCGTTCTATATCCACTGATAAGCAGTCCGGAAGGCTTGAGCAGTGATCGGAGATTCATCAACGTCTGCTCGTTTCAACTGCCTCAATAAGTACAGTCGCTTTGATGCCTTCAACACAATGTTTTCTATATGACTGTTCCACTTCAGGACATCGGTGATTAACATGCCCAGAATTTTCACTGATTTGACAAGCTCCAAACATTGATAATTTATACTCGCAGGTTCATAACTATGGGATCGATTGCGAACTTGTGAACTTTATTCTAAGCTCTTTACACTTCTTTGGATGGGGCTGTCGCGACCAGCTGCGAATTTTCCACACTAACGACCAAACCAAGTCGCTACATTCAAAAAGTTTGCCATTGTCAAAAGTCGGTTTAAGAATCAGTAACTTACGTTTTACCCACACAAAATTAAAATGATCAATCTGGCGGTAAAACGAAGAATTTTACACTAATAGCCGAGCCATTTCAGTGTGGAATAATTGACAGTCGCCCTTTCAAACCCAATTATTTTCTTAATCTGTACAGTACTGCCTAGAAATAAGTTAACACTGCAGTTCGTGCGGTTTGCGGTGCGTTTCGTGCGGTTTGCGGTTCTAGGAATTTCTTTTTAAAATACTATCCAATACGACGAAAGATGGATTTGATTTTGAAATCGCTTTTGATTTGTTGTTTCAACCGTTGTTTCAGCTAAATACTTGGGATTCGGCAAATGGGATGGGTTCGGCAAATGATCCAAGGGCGAAGTATGAACTAGACGTAAGTATTGCTTCAGCTTTGGTTAGCACTGGCTAACCTAATAATCATCTGCTGGGAATCGCTAACAAATTGATGAATTTTCAATGCGGTTCCCAGCAGCCTTTCGCGCTCGTATTCGACTTTTCCGCTTTGCTCGTGGACAACCTTAATTGAAATAGCTGTATATATATGCCTTTGGAAATCTTGGAAAAAAGCGACTCCTCCATATCAGGGAATTATATTATATGTTTGAATTCTATTTGTTTTGTGCAATAGATTTTTTAAACTTGCAAAATGTATATCTTAATGTTCATGATTATGATGATTGCTTGCTCGCCATTTGCGACGAGCAAGTTATGAAGTGTATAAAAATTATCTTCTTATTACAATTTATACTTATTATTTGAACATTTAAAATGGCAGGATTTTAACTTTCTGTAAACAATATCTGAAAAAGCCAAAAAAGCCATTAAATGGCGGCAAGCATCACGTTTTTATATAATCGTTTTTATATAAGCAATCTACCAGGGTCACATGTTCATCCCGCAGTCTTTTTACTGGCGGAAATTAATTATTTTTATTTATTGATCAATGAACCGACTCGGATTACAATCACAACAACCAGCCTTATTGATCATATAGTAACAAACACACCTGAAAAAATTTCACATTCTGGTGTTGTTCACACTGGAATCAGTGACCACAGTTTAGTTTACGCAATCAGAAAAATAAGAGTTTTCCAAAAGGTTGAAGATTTTGTTGAAATTAGAAATATGAAAAATTTTAATGAGACAAAATTTGTAGATGAGCTTCTCAATCAACATTGGGAATATATATATTTCTTTGGTGAAGAACCAAATTCAATGTGGGAAATTTGGAAAGAACTTTTCCTTGAAGTACTGAACAAACATGCACCATTGCAACACAAAAGAATTAGGTCCAGTAAAGTGCCCTGGATAACAAACAAAATAAAGAGTCTCATAAATACAAGAGACAACCTCAAAAGAAAGGCAATTATTACCAAGTTAGAGACTGATTGGCTAAACTATAAAAGAACTAGAAATCAAGTCAATATTGCATTAAGAAATGCAAAAAAGAATTATTATTCCACAAAAATTGCTGGTCAAAAATTTAATCCAAAAAAAGCATGGAAGTCAATTAATAACTTGTTAGGCAAACAAGCCACACATCCAGAAGTAAATGAACTCATATCAGAAGAAAATATTTTAAACAATCCAAAAGACATTTCAGAGGGGTTTAATAACTATTTCTCAAATATCGGACACAATCTGGCAAGTCAAATTGATACTTCAAATTGTAATTTTGAGACGTATGTAAAAAAAGCTACCTCAGAGTTTACTGTATTCCAACCCACGACTGTAAATATTTGTCAGTTGTTGGGTGGATTATCTAGCAACAAAGCCACCGGCATTGATAAGATATCATGTAAAATTATTAAGATGGCTACACCAGCCATAGCAGATTCACTGACATATATTTTTAACCAGGCTATTGCTTTATCCTCTTTTCCCGATTAATGGAAAATGGCTAGAGTTGTACCTCTTTACAAAGGTGGTCAGCGAAATATACCTGGAAACTATAGGCCCATTTCGGTTCTACCAGCCATAAGTAAAGTAATGGAACGAATCTTATATAATCAACTCGACAACTATTTAACTGAATTTGAATTACTAAGTAGCACCCAATTTGGCTTTCGAAATTCTCACTCTACAGCAACAGCACTTTTAGACTGTACCAATGAGTGGTATGTAAATATAGATAAAAAATGTTTAACTTGGTGGTTTTCATAGATACTGTTGACCATAACATTCTGCTTAAAAAGTTGGAATGCTATGGAGTAAAGGGACAAGCTCTTAGCTTACTAAAATCATACCTTTCAAATCGACACCAGAAGTGCCAAATAAATAGACTTGTTTCATCAGAACAATTAATCAGATGTGGTGTACCCCAGGGCTCAATTTTAGGACCATTGCTGTTCCTGTTGTACATCAACGACTTACCCGAGTGTCTTAATAACACAAGACCTCGACTATTCGCTGATGACACAAATCTTACAGCCTCTGGTAACTCCATAGCTGATGTTGAGCCCGCAGTAAACTCTGATCTAGACAACCTAAGAAACTGGTTAATTGCCAATAAACTTAGCTTGAATGTAGCAAAAACAGAATTTATGCTAATTGGCTCTCCACAAATGATAAGAAATGTTTCAAATTTTCAACCAAATATTATAATTGAAAACAAACAAATCAGACAAGTTAATAAAACCAAAACTTTAGGAACAACAATTGACCAGCACTTAACTTGGAAGACTAATACTGAAAATATTTGTAAAAAAATAACATCGGGAATTTCAGCTCCACGTCGTGTCAAACCATTTATTGCCGATAGAAATACGCTTATTTCTATATACAATGCTATTGTACGTCCCTACTTTGATTATTGCTCTGAAGTTTGGGATGTATTTGGCGAAACACAATCTAAACGACTGCAAAAACTACAAAACAGAGCTGCTCGAATTATTTCAAATTTCAGCAATGATGTAGATCATTCTATTGCTTTAAATGCCTTAGGCTGGGAGCCACTTGATAGAATAAGAAAAAAGGCAAAAGCAAGAATGATGTACAAAACATTAAACAAAATAGGCCCTGAGTCTCTCACAAACCTCTTCACGTATAAGAGTGATATAACAAATTATCAACTTCGAAACATTTCAAGTGGTCTTTGTCTACCACAACCACGTACGTACCAATAATATGAAGAAAAGTTTTATGTATGATGGTGCTAAGCTCTGGAACTCTATTCCAAATGAAATTAGAGAGAGCAAATCCCTATCATGCTTCCAAAAGAAAATTGCCGCTCACATTTTTAATTAGACAACAAATGTTGTCATGTACAATGTAAATAGATTGTTATATTCCCATTACTTACTTTAATACCTGCATGCCTAATACTAATACTCTGTAAATAATTTTCTAAAGTTTATACTTCTGTAATGTCTTTTATACACGCCCCCTGTGGAAATCTGCTTCGGTTGACGGGGTTAGCGTGGTTAAATAAAGTTTATCTATCTATCTATCTATCTATCTATCTATCTATTTATGTTTTCTTCACAAGGAGTCCATCTTAGCCGTCATACTGTGAGATCAGTGAGCAGTTCGTACTACAAGCAAACGAGCACTCATCATTTTGCAGACGGACTACCTTGGCATATAATAAAACTTCAGTTTACAAAGTTTTTTTCGTTTAAGGCAAGCCACAAATATAGACGTTACGTTCAAGGGCAAAATAACACACACCATGCATGCAAGAAGCAAATAGCCATATATTTTATTCTGCTCAGTTTTTCGTAACATTGTTTTACATTTTCATCAAATTAATTGAGCACCTTAAAGTAGCAGCCTTCTGAAAATGGGGGCGCCATTTATATGGTCGACGTAAATGTCAAATTTTCTTCAATTTCTGTAAAAATAGATTCATAACTTTGACCGATACAACGATTCGTGGACAACCATTTCATTGAGAATATCTTTTAATCTTGGACAACCTTATTAAAAGAACAAAATATACTCATAGCAACCAAACTTTCAATGTTTTATCGAGAATACGAATAACGTTCGCTAAAATTCTGGATTGGGCAAAACTAATAACTCCCGAAAGTAACGTTCGAACTTTTTAACCCCTCTACAAATTGCTAAAAATAACATACCTCTAAAAAATAGCGGTAGCTGGAAAGATATATATCACATAAAATGAATTGGTATAGTTGACTGCAAAAAGTTCCTGCATGAGTATTGTGGTTAGATAATCCACTCACATGCTGTGACTCGAATTTTGAGTGAAATTACTCAAATTTATGAGCAGGTTTACCATTGTCAAAAATCAAAGACATTAAAATTCTATTTCGCAAAATGTTATGACGCACGTTTGAGTGTTAAAACTGAAGTTGAGTACCTATTGAGGTATTTGCGGATGTTATAGACATGGAGAAGATGAAAGTATTTTCTTCTATCTTCTGCGCTTTGCAAGTTGAATATCCTGGACACAAATACATACATTGTTTAAACATTGAGTTTCTCAGTCATTGTTGAGCGGATTTCCCAACAGGCTATTGCGCATGCGCAATTGATAGAGTGCATCTGACTGACCAATGCACATAATATTAATATCATAACCTTACCACAAAGTGCCATTGTTATTTTGAGTTCTTCCTTAAAGATATTTAGAACTTTGAAGGCTCCTTCCTCCCCCTTTAACGGGAAGAGAAAAAATACGTCGGGTTTCATTCCTCAACCCCAAATTATATTCAAAGAAATATCAGACATAAAATTTTAAATCAACTAAAAAAACGTTATAAAGGTCTATTGTACTAATGTACAGGGTGTATAAAAAAAATACAGGGTGTATATACAAAACACAACCTCGGAATTTCCTAAGAAATCCACATTTTAGGCCTCTGGGAATTGAAATCGAATTGCTAGTAGATCATATTACTGTTGTTGTACTGTACTTGTAAAATAAAAACTTATTAAGTGTGTTTAAATAAATACATGAATTTTGCTTTATGCACTCGCGTGCGGAGTAATTTATTCGCGTAGAATATTCCCCTCCGACCTGTATTTCATACCTGATAGGCCAAACCCCACACGATCGGCCTCCCTACAAAGACTGCTCTTGCTCCCAGAGCCAAAGCTTTGAAAATATCAGAACCAGATCTAACACCTCCATCCATATAAACCTCGATGTCGTTGCCGACGGCAGACACTATTTCTGGTAAGACTTCTATCTAAAAAGGTAGTTCTGTTTTCAACAATTGTGTAAAATAAGGCAAGTCGTTTATTTATGTATCTTTGACTATTAAGAGACGCATTTAAAAAACGTGTCAGAGAGTCCGTCACTTCTTTTCAAACTTTGCCAAGTTTGACTTCCACCATTTTGGCTTGGGAACGTGTACATCTGAATAGAGGATACACGATGTCTAATGGTTGTCAAAATCGTGACGCGTGACGTAACATTCCGATGAGCAGATACACCAGGTTTCAACTCTCGCTATATGTGACCAAGGTTAAGCAATAATTGGTCAAAAAATTAATCAATTTTGGGACAAGATTATGAGAGCTACAGTAAGATAAGGATGCAAAAACGTGTGGCTATACCGTCGCTGGAGCACCATCTAACTGTCGTCCACCATGGTTTGAAACAATGATACCATCAGCACCATACGTCACTGCCAAATTCGCATCATCAACGACAAGTATACCTTTTAATACCACAGGCAATGACGTCACCGACTTTACCCAAGGAATCAGGACGTCCCATGTTACAAATGAGTTGTGAATTCTATTTGCAGTATCGGGGGTGACATTTGCCACATTTTCTCGTTCGAATGCTTCTTTCACATTAGGAAAATGGGAGGCGCCAATCACGCCTCCGAAACCATCGTATCGTTTGCCCACGACAGGTATGTCGACAGTCAACACGATTGCTTTATACCCAGTGGCCTCGGCACGTTTGATAATGTTTGCCATAATATCACGATTTGTAATAGGGTCCAGTACAAACCATTTCAGTCCGTTACAGCTTGAAGCGACATCTTCTAGGCTAGTTGTTGACCAACAGCTCAGCGCCATGCATGTTCCCATGCGAGAACTGGCTGTAATGAGAAATTTAGTCAACTTTATATGCCCGGCTTTAATCGATTTTTTGAGTGTCTGTAAAGCTGTCATTAGGTACTGTACATTTTTTTTTTTTTGAAGAAAAGAACATCGATTGAAACGAACCGATCTCTTAGGCCGGTTTCGAACGTCGCATTTTGTATGTGTCGAATTGTATGTATGTATGTATGTATGTAAACTTTTATTTAAAAGCAAAAAGGAAAAAAAACGACGCCAGCCTCATCAGCTACAAGCTGGTTTCCATGAGAGGCGTCGGAACACACTTGAATAAATAAAGTTATTTACAAGAATATTTACATGATATTTACAAGATTACGAAGAAATAAGTAAGTTATGTATCAAGACTATTAATATTCATTTTAAAGGTATATTCAGATTGAGCTAGTTTTGCTTGCAAAGGGAGGCTATTCCAAAGTTTCGCCCCGCTAAATTTAAAGCTATTTTTGAGGAATTCTCTTTTGGGATGTGGGAGAACCAAGTACTCGAATTTCTAAGATTATAATTAATTTCCAGAGCACTAATCCTAGTGAACGATTCTTTCAAACTCGACGCACCTTGATTATTTAAAATTCGATACATAAGATTGTTTTATTCCTTTTACGTCTCACTTCTAGTGCTTCCCAACCAAGAGTTTCAAGAACGTCAGCCGATGGAATTTTATAACTAGCACCGGCAATTATTCTAGCCGCGCGATTTTAAAATTTTTGAAGTTTTTCCTTTAAATAAGCACAACAATTATCCCATAGGGGAGAACAGTAATCAAAATATGGCTGTATAAGGGCGTTATAAATCAATCTCATAGTTTCAATAGCTTGGATTGGGCAGATACGCAAGATTTGAGTCTGAAACAATTAAATTCGACGTTTCTAATTACGGACGTGGTTTCAGACGTCGCATTTTTTCTTGACAAACTTGGCCAGAGACCCCGCTATAACTGGAAGCATAATGCGAGATTTTTGCGTTTTGGAAGTCGTTCTTTAAATGCAAATAATTTCAAAACGAAGCGACAAAACAAAAACACCAGCAATCACGATTTCACGCAATCCGATTGGCCTGAACCAATATGTAAACAACTTCTGTGAATGGCCGAAAACACACCCCCCCCCCCTCGCCTCCCCTTGTTCCCCGCTATCGACTTCATTTGCATACCAGTTGACACAAGCAAATGCATCGTCCTAGTTTTGAGATGAGCGATGTAGACTGCACGTACCACTTTATTAAGTTTATACCAACCTCTTGCTGTGGCCAGTTCACCCTCTGGATGTGCCAATTTGTGCATGGCAGTTGGTGCGACACAAAACGGAACTTCTATTTTCTCACCAAGAATCGATGTTGACATATCAATGGAAGACACATTTCGCAAAACGCGTGGTAGAAGCCGTAGTCTAATAGAAATAATTTTACACAGTGCTGTTAATGTTCCACAATTTTTGTAAATACTTAAAGTTGCATTATCAGAAAAGTAACTATAGTTATACTGATACATGTTACATTGGAGCAAAGTTACTTAAAAAATTTTTGTAACTAGTTAGAAAGTTACAAGTTACAAATTACAATTACGAAATTTTATAATACATGCGATCATTATGTCAAACATACATTATAATACCAAGCAATAGTATAGGAGTCAGACTACGATTTATAGATTGTAAATGTGAACACAAAGTGAATTAGACTAAATAATTGTTTAATTTAACCAGAAAACGAATAGTTTCACACATTGCATGAGCAGCATTGTATAGTCCGCTATCAAAACTGACTTTCGAAACAGACAACTCTACGTGGCAGTTCTCTACAGTTCTCCAGTGTTTTTGGCACTGCCCCCACCAGCACTGGCACGAGTTCATAAATATCTGCTCTATTAAATATTGCTACTTTGAAGTTCTTCCAAAGAGAGAGAGAAGGCTCATTTTCCGCGGAAAATTTTGTGAAATATGATTGGCCGTTGAAAATTTTCAACTTTTAACAATGACATTTTCGGAAAATTTTCTGTCCGTGGAAAATTTTCTTTAGTGGAAATGGGCCTTGATTTAAAGCGGAGGTGCGGAACCCAATATTAGTAGACTGAGGGCTGTTTATATGAAGGCGAGTTACTCGGCCACGGCGAGATCCCGGCTATTATAGAAACTTGTAGTATTGAAATCCAGGGTAACTGCTTAGACTACATGATGCAGGGAAGTAACTCGAGTTCCGTGCAGAAAGAGGCGGGATATATCACCGAGGCGAGATGAATATTTTACCATGTATTACGTTGCCCGGGTAACTCGGCAGCCCGAGATAGAATGTATGTGCTTTGCATTTGAAATATAATAGCTCGACAATACATAAATAAAACGAAAACGTCATTTAGTGTGTCCATGTAATAAATATGTCTCTCTCTCCGTGTCGAAAAGCTAAAGTAGCTTGAAATGCTGTGCGGAGTGGTTATATTACTACCTTAAAAAATAAGCAGAAACTCTTAATTATTTATTATTTTTTAAGGTAATAATATAACCACTCAGCACAGCATTTCTACATTGGTACGACCTACACTGGTACAGACAGTTTTAGTATAAAGTAGCTTGACAATTCAATTATATTTATTCAATTTATTCGAAGATATTAGCTTATTGTATATAATTGAATCGTCCATGTGCAACGACTTGTGCAATAATATTGTATACTAGTCTTATACACAACAATGCTTTATCTGTTCGCGTTCGACATATAATAGTATATTACACAGAGCATCAATGAAAATTGTTGATTTACGATTAAACTTAAACTGAAGTTTTTATTGCCAATTACTTGCTGCTGCAAGAAGCTAAAATGGCAAAATGTTATTTGGCTGGTCAATCAGAAGCAATTTCAATGTCGCTAGCGTTATCAAATCTCTTTAATTGGTAAAATGTGTGAATTGCGAATACAAAATGTGGCCGAAGATATTATCTAATTTATTTTAGCTTGTACTGAACTGCAAGGTCTCAATAGGCTGTTTAATGCAGAGGTTGTCCAACCCAATTTAGATATTCACCGACCACCTTACCTTTTAAAAGCTGCTGTTGATTCACCAAGCGTCTGCATGTCATTCGCTGCTGATGCATAATAACTAAATGCACCCTTCGGTAAATGTCGCCTGGCAAAAGTTTCAAAATCGCTGATACAAACAGGTTCATGGTTTAATTCGTGGTTTGGCATCCTTCCTTATTGAACTCGTAGATTTCGTACTAAATAGCGTTTACAAATTATTCGACTTGAAAGGTCTTTACACATCAGACTGCTTGGCAAATATTAAGAACTTTGTTTACAATATAAGCTATCTTTATCTATTATAAATTAACATATAATGGTAGAGTAATCATAGATATCTTAAGGCCGGCGCACACTAGAGCTATGTGCTTAGCAAAATGTCATTCGTGACTGTTGGCGTAAAGGCCGGCGCACACTAGAGCTATGTGCTTAGCAAAATGTCATTCGTGACTGTTGGCGTAAGGAGATAGCTCTCGTGTGCGGGCGATTTACGAACGACTTTTGTCATTCGTGCCACTTACGCCAAATATCTAACATGTT